CAGGCCAGGCGTCGTGTCGTCGCAGGGGCAGGGAGCGCCTTCGTCCGCCATCTTCTCTCGGTTATGACCGTGCACCGCTGAGCAAAAGGTTGTGCCACGGGTACCCGGCGCACCTGGCTGGCTGTGAGAGGATCTTGCTTGACAGCAGGGCACCTCTTTGTGTAGCGTCGCTGCAGAGATGAGGGAGGGGAATAAGGGCGCCATGAGCCGGTGGGTATCGGTTGGGTTTGCAGCGGCGCGACTGGTGCACCTGTGCTGTTGGCGATCGTCGTGAGCCCTCTGTAAGAGGGGATGAGGTGGTAGGATTCACCCCACATCTGGGGGCAAGTTAGGTGCTAATCGTTTTGATCTGCAAACTGTCTTTTTCAATATCCTCAGGATCTTCAAAGACTGATTAAAGTGAGGTTAGACTCAATGCAAGTATTAGTTGCCTATCTTTTAAGAAGGGTGAAGGGCAGAAAAAGGTTATTAAAGTTCTGCTTATAGTATAGTTAATATTCAATTGGGATGTGCAGTTAGTAGTCTAGAGAAGAAATTCTCGTGTTATTTTGGTTATAAATACGGGTTTCACTGTTATATGAAACAAAAATGAAACCTTAACTTCCAGAATCGGATCATGAGCTACAATACCAAAAAAAAAGAATACTGCAAGAGAATCATTGCAGGGGGTTATGAAAGAATAAAGAAAGATGTCAGTTTTATCACAGTCGAAAATATGTGTTAGAGCTTTCAATTTTTTCTTTTAGTTAAATAAATATTGTTCAAAATAGGAGTGTGGGGCTTAAAAAAAAAGTCTTTGGAAGATCTAGCATATATAATCTAATGCACAGAAATAAAAACGATGAGTTTTCCTGCTGGAAAAATTTACTGTTCTAGTTCAGCCGCAGTTTTATTCTCTGTGGCACTACTGGCTAATGCTGCCCAGTGCTGAGCACGTCCTGTCCTGTGAAAGAACAAATGATGCCCAGAAGTGGGCAGATACACAAACAAAGCAGTGTACAACACGGCAGCTCCTCAAAACTTCCCTCCTCAGTCAAAATTTAGAGGATGAAATACAAAAAATGTTAACAACAGAGAATGGAAAAGATACTGTGCATGATAAGGACTGGAGAGATCAGGGCTTGGCGGTGATGCTGTACATTTAGATTGTTAACCAATAGCATATTACGATACGTAATTGTTTTACAAAATTGATGTGCTGAATATATGTTTCAAAATCCATTATAACAATTATTGCATTGTAATAGCAGTTACAGGTTACTAAAATTACTGCTTTAACTTACAGACAAGAAAACAACTAACTTGAAGAGAAAACTATTAATTCTTAGTGTTACATATATTCTTTAAAATTGTTGGCCAAGCAAATAAAAGTGAATTAGCTATTTCATTAGTCCCTCTGATGAAACGGTGGATACAAGAGACAATAGTGCATTAAGTGCAGAGAACTATCTTTATCTCCTGCTTTACTAGCAAAGTTACATATATATAAACACTTGTATGTACTGAATGGCTAAGATTGTAACTTCAGAGTGAACATGTAAGGGACTTAAAGCCTGAGTAGCAGTTAAGTATCACAGCACGTACAGGTTAAAGGTGTACATTAATGTCATAATGGTAAATGGTAAAATGTTATTTACCTCAGTAACATTTTTCAAGTTATCAAATTTAACCAAAACTGATCTATTGCTTCTAGTATGTACACAGAGGAGAATGAATAATGAAACACAAAAATTACTGTGGCCTTGGGTGACTCACTGGATCACTTCCCTGATTCAATTTCTTAGTGTTTAGAATGAGGATGGGAAGACCAATATGTCTTGGCAGTATATAAAGAAGAGTCAGTCATATAATGTTTTAAAAGCATCTTACATGTAGAGCACTATTTGTTAGGTGAAATTGTGGTGTAGTGTCTAAGGAAGTAGATTCAGGTTTATTTTTGAACAGCAAAAAAAATTTCAAATTCAGTGATACGATCTAGCACTTTGATAGGTTTAGCTTGGGCTTTCTGACATTTCTTAGAAATGTCAGATCTTAGGTTGGTTGAAATTTAGTTTAATATGCAAAAATAGTTTAACTTTAAAAAAGGTGTTCTATGTTCTGCTTATATTTGCATTTATGGAATTCTTTCGCAATAGTGTGAATGAGGAGGAAAAAAAATCTTGATTTTTTTTTTTTATATATATATATATGATGAAGTGTTCCAGAAATAAGTGAATCACAGCCTTGAAGAAACTATGAAGAATATCAGTTTGGTGAATCTTGGTAAACTTTTAGATGACTTCTCAGTGATAGAAAAGGTAAGTAAAGAAGGTACAAAAAACATTGAAATTGCTACCTGTGAATACTTTGGCATATTTTAATATGCTTTTCAGGTGAAAGTTTCTTCTAAGTGGTATCTGTTCGTATTGTGCTATGTAATACCAACTTTGTTTGGAAAGTAAGTGTCTGCACTCTCTGTTAGCGCTCAGAATGATTTAAGATGAGCGATTATCCAAATGTCCTTCCTTTGCATTGCTCATCTGTGAAATAGCAAGTGAAAATTGTTTGTGCTGTTGTGCATTTAATATTTGTGTAAAGGACGATCTTGGATCATTTTTCATAGGTGAATGACGAGATCCCAGGTAACTACCATTTTACACGTGATCCATTAAAATGCCTTCTGTCTGCAGGAAAGATATATATTTCTTTTGTTATTCCTAATGAATACTTATTTTGCATTTGCCTGATCAGTATGTGATAAGCTTCAGACTTTTGTGTCCGTAAATAGACAAAGGTGTTCTGTCTTTAGGGACTTACAAACAAAATTTCTGATAGTGAATCAGAATCTCTGTGCATAGAGATCGAGTGGGCTAAAAGAAGCTAGGAGTAGCTCTGAGTCCGGAAAGGTTGGGGCTGACATGTCAGAACTTTTGGATGTAAAATCAGATTTATAAAGACATCTAGGTTGCATAAGCATGCAAACAGACACTTTTTTTAATTTAAAACCTTCAGATTCCCAGATGAAAATTTATCTTAAAATGTCTGCTGTTGAAATCTGTGGAGTCTGCTCAGAGAAGTGTTCTGTGGTAGAATTTTAGTTTCTCCGGAAATGTGTGCAAGTCTCTGCATCAGAAGGTTCTATTGGAGACAACAGTATTGCGTAGCCTTGTTTTATTGTCCCTGCAGAAATTATTCCGTATTCTAAGAAGAAAAATCATCACCATAGCAGGAGCATCTGTTCTTATATTCTTTATTTTAAGAATATGTCAGTTCTTTGAAGGTGGATCCACTGAGAGAATCAGTACCAAATTTCTTGTTTGATAGACCCATTTGTGCTAGCTCTCTGATCCTGATCAGTAAATCCTTACCAAAGATAATACAGAAAGGACACCTGAAATCACCGTGTTGTGATTTTCATGGAAAAAGTTATTACACCAGTCACTATTCATACACACTCGTCGGTGCTTGACGAGGGTATTTACAACTTCTTATGCAAGCAACCAGAAGAACCTTGAAGATTTGTCTAGACTATGGACTTAAGAATTCAGAGGAAGCAACTAAATTAAGGTGGGATTAAGCAGTCTTGCTGATATGTGTTCTACTCTGTGCCCTTCTGTAACATTTATTTAGTATGTTTAATTTTGCAAGAGGAAGCGCAAGATTATGCTTGTCAAAGATTCCTGGTCTTTGTAAGTAATATTGTAAGTAGACATTGTATGTTCTGGATAGTAAATGTTTAATTATGTACAGCACAGGCTTTCAAGTCTAACTTTGTTCTTCTCTATAATGGAATTCCCAGAGTGTCAAGTAAAATAGGCTTGCAACTGTAGTGTTGTGTAAAAATGCTTATATCAACTTAAATCTCGAGATGTGAAACTTAAATCAAAAATTCTTAGTATAACGTTAGTCTCTCACCAATTTTCTAGAAAATATCAGAAATTAATGAAGCAAATAACCTATTGGTTCTTCAGCTGGAAAAATCTAACATGTTGGTAAAATTAAGCCAAGCAAAGGAGGATTCAGTAAAAGAAGGTAAATATTATTTTGAAAAACAGTATGTTCTTTTCTTGTATTTAGGAAGTTCTGAGAAATATTGGCATTATTTTTGGTAATCTCAAACCACCACAGTTTACGATGCAAAGATTTTTAGGCAGAGTAGTATCAGCAGTGTTTTAGCTTAAAACGCAAGCCTATATGTGACTTGTAGTTAACATTCACAAGCAATTCAGATGTGTATATAGAATGACAGAGCCAACATTTGAGAACTGTAAGGTCAGTAGTAACATCATCACATCCCAAGCTGAGCTCTAGCTCTTCTATTGCTATTAATGTGACAAAATCTAATGTTATGTTTCGGCTGGTTGCCAGAAATGTTTTTTCCAGTGAAAAAAAGAGCCAGATGCATTCTTGGGTGCGTGTTTTGCCGTTTTCTGAAAACGTCAAAGTTTGAAAATGTCGAAGTTCCAAATCATCAAAGTTTGCCTGTAATTGGAGAGGGGATGTTAGGCTGGTGGGACTGGTGCTCTGAGATGGTGTAAAAAATGTTTTCTCTTAGCTGCTTATGTGATTTGGCTTGTTTAAGGTCAATTTGATAGCCTAGTTTGGGGTTTGTAATACTTTTTCCCTGTACCGTGCTGACAGGTGTATTGAAGTTCCTCTTTCAGTATTGGTCACTGAAATAACTTAACATAAATTAATTCTGTGCCACTGTATTGGACTTTGGGTATAGGTGGAAACTGAGTCTTGTGTTCTCCCTAAGCATTTCTTTGACTTCTTGAGCACTGAAAGGCTTTAGTCTATCCAGAGTAATTAGATTTTATTTCTATGTGAGATGTAATCTCCTTGATGCTAAGACGTCAGATTAAAAAAAAAAAAAAGTGATAGCCTATTTGACTTTATATCATCGTGAATATTTTATCACGTTGGCATTTCCAAGTCAGTTATACAGCGTTAGAAATCACACATAATTCTTTCAAGCTTGAGTTTAATTAAACTGTATTGATCATTATCGTAAGTTTATTCCGTAGGAGGCATTTCTCTTCCTGTCTGTTTTGATGTCATCAGGGTCATATTTCTTTTACTTTCATAATAGATGTCATTACGGTGCTAAAAAGTTACGGGTGGTAATAAAAGTTTATCGAAATGTTCAGAGTATTCAAACTGTTTAATAGCAACTGAAGTTACATAATGAAACGGCATTTGACTGTTTCTAATAGTCTGGCAATTTTAAGCCTCTAACTTGTAATAAAGAAGTTACCATATAAATGAGGAATTAAAGAGAAAACAGATTAAATGAACATTTTTTCTTTTTTAATATTTCTAGTCTGGAAGTATATCTTTTCAGATGGCTGTTTAAAAAAAGAGGGAAATAATACCTGGTACTTTACATAGATGATATGCTCGCTCGCTCTCTATAGTTTTATAGAGAGAGAGAGAGAAAACTACACACACACACACAAACACACACACACACTTTTGTGGTTTCCTATTCTTCTGTAGTTCTTAAGGTGATGGAAAGGTGCATCTTCTTACAAAACTTCAGTCTCAGACAACTCAAACTGCTAAAGTTAGGAAACAGAGGGAAGGAATAAACTTAGTTTCACACAGGAATAAAGTTTCCGGTGGCTTTCACATAGATCTTTGCTGGGACTTAAATAATTTAACATACTCAGAAATGAACTGGAAAAGCTACTAAAAGGTGAGTACAAGTGTGCTAGTGGTACTAATCTGTTCAGTTATACCAAGAACTTCATGATACAGAAAGACGGTGCTAAAAAGAGAAGATGAAATTCAGTAGAATGCATATTAGAAGACATTGTATATGAATAGCGGTAGGCTCTAACTGGCAACTACTACCTAGGAAAGAGATCTTCATGTCATTGTAGACAATTCTCCAAAAAATAACAGTGGTCAAAAAAGAAACGGGGAAATAAACATTATGTCCCTTTAGAAATTTGTGGGGTTTTTTGTTGAATATTTTGGTCCCCGCATTTCAAAAAGGACCTACCGCAACTAGAATAGATACAGAAATGGCGGCAAGGTTCAGTATTGTCAGGGAGCAGAGAGGGACAGGGAGCCTGGCATGTAACAAGGCTGACAGAGGCAGGGCCCTCCCCAGTGGGGACCCAGTCCTGCTGTACCTGAGCAGGGGAGGCCCAGGGACGGTTGCTAGAATCAGCCGAGAGCCCACGTTACTGAACGAGTCTATAGTGATGAGGCAGGTTGGAGAACAAGACAGGAAAGTGAGTCAGGGTCAAGGTCAGGTCCAGAAACAGTAACAGGGCCAGGCATGGTCCATTGATCACCAGCGAGTTCGTACTGGTGAGGCAGTTCTGAAAAGAAGCCAGGAAGTCAGTCCGTAGGTCATGATCGGGTTCTGGATCGACAGGGTACATGGCCACGCACAGGATATGGCTGCAACACAGCTGCAATATCATAGCTCAAGCTGGGCCAAGGGCGAGAACCTCAGCTTAAAAGCAGCTCCTACGGGAAAGAGGGGCAGCCATTGCTGAGTCATCTTCCAGCTTTGTTCAAACAGCTTGTTTCAAGGTCACCAGCTGTACTCATTCCAAGCTGGCCCTGAGCCCAGGCAGCCAAACCCTCAGAAAGGGGATGGGGGAGGAAGCATTTAGCACCCTGGCAGGTGTGGTAACAGTTATGGAGCATCTGAGGAAAGACTTAAGTTGACTGATAACTTTTCAGCTTAAACAGAAACAGTAGAGTTGGGATATTACTGATAGCTGTACAACTATGAATGGTGTAGAGAAAGTGACTAGGGAATGATCATTCACTGTTTGTTGTAATAAAAGAAATAGATGGAAATCAAACTTCTTGATGGATAATCTCCTTTAAAGCAAACCAAAGCATGAACTTTTTCCACACATTATAAAACAAAGTTTTTGACTCAATTACCACAGGAGTTTGTGGATATCAAAAGTATAGATGAGTCCAAAAAGACGAGACAAATTCATGAAAGACTACCTCTCACTCAGGTCTTCCTTACTTGTTATTGGAAACTGAGAAGATATAGTAAGGGTAGTGTTTGTCCTTTTTTTTTTTTTTTTTTTTACTCTTTCCTGAAGCATCTACTACTGGGTATTATGAAATGGGGTAGTGAACTGGAAGGAAATCTGGACTGACGCATTAGAACCATTTGCTTTTCAATTAAGCACAAAAAACAATGCAGGACAGTTACCTCTTGATTGGTTTTTGAATTGTTATTATTGAAGAAGACAACAAGGAGGGGAGGGATTTTGTACAAAATAGATTTCAAAGAGGGAAAGGAAAAGGAGGACAAAAAGAAGAAATTATTTCTAGCATAAAACCAATGGGGAAAAAAGGATATCAGCAAATGCGAAAGAGAGAAGGCAGGAAGTCAGGGCAGCTGGGAAGATTGCAGAAAGGAGTGTGGAAGCAGAATGGACTGAAAACAGATGGAAGTCACATGGCAGATTTGGGCTTTGTAAATGGAAAGTAGTGCCTCAGTTTGCTGAGATAAGACCAAAACGATTTGAGGAGATAGTTATGTTGATACCATAACTGAGGAGAATGAACTCTGGAGCTGTTTTGAAACACATGATGGGGAAAAAATGTGGAAGGCAGAAGGCCAAGTAGGAATACTAGAGCAATCAGTGTGAAATACGAACCAGAGTTTTAGCAGCAGGGTTAGTCAGGAAAGAACAGATCTTAATAATATTCAAGTCATAATAGTTGCACAAATTACTAGGAATGTGGATAGGGAGCCAGAATTGTTGGAAAGTAAGGATTCTGGTCTAAGAAGTAAGAGAGATTGCAGAGCTGTTAATAGCAATAAAGAGAAAAGGGAAAAGCAGAAACTTAGAGCAATATGGGGTATCCAGCAGGTGACTGTGAAAGCCACTTGATGGTAAAGTAGTAGAAGGTAAGTGAGAGATGCCAAGGAAATAGAATGTATTTGGAAATTGAGACAATTAACAGGGCTGTTTTATTTGACTAATGTACCAATAAGGTATTCCAGTAGAATTCCAACATGACACAATGCTTGAAGTGTTCGTATAAGTAATCTTTTGAACTGTACTCATTTGATGATAATCAGAGCATAGTTTCACAAACTATCTTGGGCAGCAAATTGCTGTAATGTGCAGTAGATGCTGCCAGAGTAATCTTCAGATAAACAGTTGCAGTGTAATTGGACATCACCAACCTGAAAGTAAACAATTCAGCCTTCAACTGTAAGGCTTAACAGTAGACCACAAAGAGACTCATAGAACAGCTAAGGAAAAAGCACAGGAGACTGCATGCTGGTGGTGAACGGTTCCCATATGATTCCAAGCAAACATGCTGCTTACAGCAGAGTAGGAAAGAGAAGGAGCATTATGGAAGGGATGTTCTTGTTCCATCTACCCTAAAGGATTCGTGGCTGCTAGTGGTGGTGATGTGGAGGAAGTGTAACTTTATTCCAGCTAAAGAACTCCTAGTAGGAGAACAGGAAGAGGGATAACATTTCATGCCCCAAGAAATCTCTGTCAAGTATCACATTCTCTCTGAGGGCTCCCTGATATCCTTCAGTTGCCAGAAGTTTATCTCTAGAACTGTTTAAGGTAATATAAAAAAAGAGTGGGAACTCCGAAGGAAACGCAAAGGAGGAAGGCAAATATATAAAACTCAAGGGGGAGAGGAAAGTGATACTTTTTAAACGAAACTAAGGTAGAAAAGGTGAGAAAGGTGGGCGACTGTACATATATTCTGAAGTGTCATGAATGAGCCTTGCTTTATCCTCATACGTTCTTTGCTAAACAAAGGTCAGCTTCATGACCCCTTTAGTCTGATGAAAATCACTGCAGATCCATGTAAGACAGACAAAACTCTGGCATTCTTGTTTTTTCCTCTCATCCCTGATCACCTTCTGTGGTGACTAAGTGGATACTTGTGTTACAGGTCACTCTTGTATCTGCCATAGTCTTTGAAAAGAGAGCAATTGAAATACCCACAAAACACTTTATGGCTTTATTTTGACTTGATTAATACTTTGTTAGAACATGTTTGCTAATAGTGAAGGAATTAACTATTTCCTTCACTTTTTTTGAAGTATTTCTTTTGGGAGTTACTCTGTTAGCAGTAGATGATGCTTCTAAGTAACCAAGATAGGACAGAAATATTGAATGTCACATTTTTCTGGTATCTTCAGGACTGCGTATTAATACAGGATGTTGACTTAATGTGTTGAATGTGTTTAAAAAATGGTCGATGTAATTTGCCCTTTTGAAAAAGCCATTATCTTCAAGTGTAAATGCAGATGGAAGAAACTGCAATAACTTACAGACATTAAACATGTAAAAAGATCATTTAAGCTGTTCAGTCTTCCTGCATGTAGGGAATATTCTTTACAGAGGAGGAACCGTGCAGAATTCCTAATGGATGCTAATGCCATGTGATCTAGCAAAGCCGCAACAATTTAGCACAACTGCGCTTTTTCTTCCTTAATGTAGGCAAGCAAAAATTCACTGTGGGTTCCCGGTAAATTTTACAGTCACACAACTGTAACTACATAAGGAATTTGTCAAGATACATCCTTTAAAGATAATAAAAATGAGGAAAGATTCTTGGAACTGGATACGTTTCCTCAGAGGTGGCTTGCACTTAAAATGGCTGTGGTTCACTGTAAGACTAGCTGCTATTTCCATGTTTACCTAGATGCATAGATTTATTTCTGCACAAATGTCAAGCATTTGAATGGATAGCCATACATTCTGAAAGAATAGAAAATTTGTGGTAGAAATAGTTAATACAAACCCTGTAAACTGTTAGGAAGAGGCACATTTTAAGAAAGTAGGCTTAATTTAGCTTCTGACCATAAATGGAAACGTGAAAATGTATTTCAGGATAAACAAACATGCAGGAGAATAAATCTGTAAGGCACCCAAATACACTGTTAAATGCATTGTGAGTGTTAGTAGAAGCGATAATAAGACGAATCATTCTTAGTGGCTTAATGAAGTGAGCCATTACGTTATTTAAATTACAGGGAGAGCTGCTACTGCTGCCTGTGGAAAAGATTAACAAGTTTTCAGTTGATTGTATCTCTGTCAAACTGTTTACAGTGCAAATTTCTATACCAGGTGTCTGTCTCGCACTGAATGTATGTAGTTTACACGTCAGCACAAACATGTCATTGTTTTTTCAAAACCAGAGTAGAAATCAGAAAAAAAAGTACTGTGATAGAACATCTTAAAGATTCAGAAGCTCTTGCTTCTCCATATTTTAGAGCAGAGACATAATATTTCTAGAATATTTTTCTCAGTGTAAGGGATGTCTTTCGTGGAAAATCTTTCTTATTTGCCCAAATTTTCAATCCCCAGAAATATCTCTATTGTAAAATACTTATCTCCACATAATTAAGATGGATTAAATATTCCAAATTCTCTGTTTATTGGGCATGCTAACTTGGAGCTTCAGCTTTTGAGCAGGATTTTTCTGCAAATTCTTTCGAGCTGGTTTGGTACCCAGTACAGAAACTGAGGGCAGGGAATGTTTCTGTGCTGTTAGTGCTCCCTCTACTGCTTCTTTGGAAGCATAGAGCAGGAGAATGGCAGGCTGACAAATCCAAATGCATGAAAAGCAGGCTTGAAGGAAGAACAGATTAAAGATTTAAAAAAAAAAAAAATGATTGGAAAACTTAATCTTGGGGCTGGGATCTTAATTCCTCTTTTTAACTGCATTATTTGTGAGGTAGTCTTTAAGTATATGATTTGCTATTTTCAATAGAGCTTTGGTCTTACGGGATGAGAAATTGTTATGTAGTGTACTTTATTTTAGAAATTAAAAGTCATTTCTGAAATGCAGTGGTACTCCAGAAATAAAAAGGAAGATTTTAAGAGCAGGTAACCTCAATTTTAGTGTCCTCAGTCTTTGAATGATTTTCATCTTTACTGATAAGGTTACAAGGATCATAAGGCATAAATACTAATTAATGAAAATCAGATCTTACTTTGCAGTTAGTCCATCTAGTGTACAAATATTAAAAATACAAAAATACAAATTTTGAAATAATATAAATAGGTAAAGTGGTAACAAGCATGCGTGCATATATATATATATTTTCAGAATTATTTTGTTTAAAGTGAGGTGATGGGAATGTATGTAGTTGTATACTCCGATTTTCCCCAAGCGTAGGTTGAACCATAAAAAGAATGTTAATATGCACTAAAAAGCGGGTGAGAGATAGTAATGAGTAGATAATGTTGGTCTTGTTAAAAAGAATCTTGGCAAAAATGCAGTCAGGAAAGCCTACATTTCTTTAATAGAAACACATCAAATTGTTGGTATCTTAATATGGAGAAGTTCCATAATTGCCCAGAAAGGAATAACATTATTTATTGGCTAGAAACAAAAACATGATACTTCTGTGAAATTACGTTTGTATTGCTTGCTAAAATTATTTTGTAGTCAAACTAAAGCCAAAATTAAATAATAATAATGTGATCATAATCTGAATGCTATTTGCACAGCTAATAAAAATATTTGAGAAACGTTATTAAATAAAAAATAAAACACAGGAAAGCATGTGTAAAGGGAGTCCTTCCTGTTACAAATTTTAATATCTTTTCATTCTGCCATGCTATGCGAATTATTTCAGTTTTATAGGTGGATTCATACAGACATATGAATGTAAAAAAAAGTCCCTCAATTGTAGATGTCCACTTGGAGACATAAAAGGTCTGATTTTTCAAGGTCTGCTCTACTTTATACCATTTCATAGGTTTGGCATGCTTCTCTTCATTGATCAATAGGTACACATTTTCATTTCATATTTCACGTTTTCTGGAAGCTCGGATCTCAAGGTGAGTATCCATAAAAGGAGGAATACGTGGTCACAGACACTTTATTCTGGTCTTAACGTGCCTGCAGGGGTGTAGTATACTGCACGTTCACAGTGACTTGCAGGACACTTAGTGGTACAGAATATGGACAGTGGCACACAGTGGCAGGGATAGAATATGCTGCACTGTGGTGTCATACCCCTACCTGTCCTACAACATCCTGTCTGACTCAATAAAATTCTGACTTTCTAAAACTGAAGTGACAATGGTACTGATTTATGCTCAGATCACTAGCTCTATCCCTTCTCTCTTCATCTTGTTCGTTCTGGCGAAGAATTGTGTATGACTACGTATGTATTCAAGACCAATTAGGATTATGAACAATCTTAATTCTGTCATATCAAAATTTTTGGAAGTTTGACTTGCAATCTTAATATTCCATTTATATAGATTTTTGTATGTGGTGTCTGTTTTTAATAAAATAACTGAAAATACAGAAATTCCACCGGGTATCATCATGGCTCATGAGTAGGGTTGCACTGACAACATTCCTAAAGTCTGAGTTCCTATATTCATAATACGTTTTATGTATAAAACTGAAATTAATTTGCAACAGCCTTAACAAAACCAGTATTTAGCCAGCTTCTGCAAGATACGCAAATGGATTTACAAAAGGAAAATGTTTTCCTTGCTGGATTAAAACTAGGAAAGAAGCTAATAAATTGCACAAATGTTAATAAATTGAACATTAGATCTATCCCTAACATAATAGTTCTGAAATATGGCTACATACATTACTGAATCCTCACAGAAAAAATACACACATAGCTTATGGTAATATTTAACCTTATAGTAGTGGTTATGATTTTTGAAAAATGAGCATATTTTTGGAGGAAGTTGCTAGAACAACTTTTGTTAATGTTGCTTGCAGAAATCAAAATACAAAGCCTGGTACTTGAATTTTCATGTATAACAAACCATAAATCTCGAGGGGGAGGGGTCCTGCTTCATTTTTTGTTTTCGGATGAGTTAGATCAGACTGATCAATTTTTCATCAATTTTTACTGTAATTAACTAATTAATACATTATGTCATAGGTCACAGGCATGATTAGAGTACTCTAATTTTACAGCTGTTCACGAACATACTTAGCACTTTCTGAAAGAAAGCAAGCTAATATCCAACCACTGAAAATGTGTCTTCATCACTGATATTTTCAGCAACCTTGAAGGACTAAAGCATTGCTCTGGGCAATCCTCATTTAATGTACAAAAATAATGTCTATTGCTTTTATGTTTCCTTTACTAAAGCTTTTAGTTATAGATAGTGTTGTACAGCAAAGTCCCTAGTGCTGCAATCTTCCTCCCTTCGTAGACTGCTGAATTTAATGCAGATTTACAGAGAGCTTTGATGTACTGTCCGGAAACTCTCAAATCCATCCAGTAATATCTGGCTTGTTATCATTTTTCAAGTCCCTAACCCATACAGCACGTTCACAAAATCTTTCCAAAACAAACTATACTAATGTCTATACATGCCAAACATTTCCTGTTTATATAGCCATTAACAAAATGTTCAGCAGCCTTTCCTCTTGCATACCATTGTCTTACCTGAAGTACCTCTACAAAAGGAGAGGCTTGGGATAACAACATTGTTAAATAAGCTAAATCTCAAATATAACATTTGAAATGATTTTTGTTTTATATGAACAATTTTAGGACAACACAACACATACGTTCTTTATCTTTTCCTGAAGTTTTGTGGTTTGTTAATAAAAGACTAGGAATCTTTAAGCTGAATTATGAAAGTGACGTTTAAATCAATATAGACCATAAGTCATTCTTGCAAAAAGATGGCCTTCTCCAAAGCTGTATGACAAATGAAACAAGGAGACCATCTTAGAAGAAAAGAGACAGTTGATCATACTTGTGCAGAGATTCTTGAAGAAGAATTTCTGTTATCTTTACAGTAGGCAAAGGAATATATTGTTCCTACTATTCAAAATACTGAATGTTCTTGGAAGACCAAGAAGATGGATGTTTAAACTTCTGTAATAAAAAATGTATGTTATTCTCCTACATTTTTCATCATAGTTTAAAAAAATACTTAAATGTGCTGTTTATTATTTGTTTTTGATGGTTATAATGAATTCCAAAATGAAAATAGTGAAGCACTTATTCAAAAATACTTGATTTGTCATTTCTTTTAGAACGTACTGCTCTACAGAATGTGATACATGGTCTGACACAAACTGTTGAAAACCAGTGTAACGTGAAAGGTAAAGAGAAAAGTGTTCCTATATATACTGTACTGTAATTTAGAATGAGCAGGTGTTTAAATGTTTAATTTATATTTAATGCTTTTTTCAGAGAAGAAGAGTGGCTAGCAGCCAAGCAGAAAGGAAACAAATTGTATCTCATAGCAATCCTGTGCATGTTTTAGTGGTTTGTGTGCTTAATAAATGTCTGTTGCTATTATCCTTAGAATCCACTAGTAAAAGTTCTAGCGCAGTGAGATTTTTTTAATCAATAGTTGGGTTTTAATTTTATTTCAGTGTCGCACAGGAAATCTTACAAAAAGTGCGAAAGTATTATTCATTTTTTGGACTATGGTCTAGTAAAGCATTTACACATAGTTTTTACACGTTTAAGTACTTTAAGAGTCTTAATCCTCAGCTTAAAAATGATTTTAAGAATCAGTTGTTATCCGTAAATACTTGGCAAAGTCTCAATACTTGACAAATACTCAATACTTGACAAAGTCTCTCTTTAAAATTGCTATTTTAAAATAAAAATATATAAATATTATGACTATATATAATAACTATAAATATATATAAATATTATATATAATATCACATTTTTAGACATCACATGGACCAAAGTATCTTTATATCACAGTATAGCTATATAGCATATACTTAATTTCATACCCATTGTGTGTTCAAGGCACAGTAGCATAAATGTTAATAAACCTCTAAAAATGGGAAGTATATGGTTGTTTTTAATACTCAAAAGGATTTTTAATAATAAATTGAATTTTTTTCTAAATTCTGTCTTTGTGATGCTACTTTTCATTTAATTAGCATACTTACTATCACTATAGTCAGGCTGCTTAGGAGCCTGCGTGCATTTACTGAGTTCATTTTTTGGGAAATGGGTACTTAAAAAGAAAGGATTGCGTCTCCTACTTGCAAGTGCCCCACACAGGATAATAATCTCTTAATTTCTGAACTAAAGGACTTTGCATCTAACTTTTATTGACTGGATCAGTTATGAGAAGGCTGAAGACCAAAGTAGTAATATCAGGCAAATATTATGATTAAACTATGAATTATCTGTTCAAAAAATGGCAACGGAGGTTACTTAGTTGCGCAAATGAAGATTGTCATGTCTATAAAATGTTTACAGTTTCTTAAGTTTAGACAGGTCAAATGAAAGTCATTTTTTTAGTCTTATGTTAACCATACTGCTGAAATTTACTTTTTAGTGACTCAGTTTATGTTTGATTATTACATAGATGAAAATGAGAGACTGAAGGATAACATTCGCATCTTGGAAGAGAAATTAAAGGCTCGTGAACAGGTGCGTCATGAATGGTCATTCTTTAGGCAGAGGAATAAGGTGTCTCTTTCTCTTTTGTAACAGTTCATATATATTCTTAAACTCTTTGCTACTGATGACATTATTGTCGCACTTTTCCTGGAGTTTTATCATGTGCACAGGGGGAACAGTTGTTCTCAAACCAGTATCAGTATGAGAATGCGTTACTGCAAAGACTAAGAGGTCAGTCCTACTAAGTGCTGAGAACTCTGGCTCAGTCTAAGTTGCACTTACTTTTAGCTGCATTAGCTTTAAATTCAGCTTCATAGGCTAGAAGTTAATCATTTGTCCAAAAACACAAATACATGTTTGATGTTCAAGACAACTGCTTTACTGCCAAAGAATCAAGAACCTCTGTGAATTTTGTCAGTGGTCTCCTTGGGAGTGAACGCTACAAAGAGGATAGGCTCCTTGACTCATAACAAATTCCGTCTAGCATCTCTCTACTTTTCATCTGTTCCACTCTTTTTTTGGAAGACAGGTAACACCAGCAGTGCTAGTCAGGAGTCTTGTCAGTGCTCTGTGCTAAGATTGCACATCTGTTCCCTACATAGAATTTGGAACACTCTTGATACTAATTTTCTTTGTCTGCATTAATACTAATGATGAGTTGTTTATATTGAACTCGTGTACCAATAGAGCTGTTATCTTGACAATTTGAGGATAAAATAAGTAATGCCTTCAAAAAGATGATAAAACCTACATTATTAATCCTCAAATTGTGGTATAGAAACTATGATTATATACATGGTGGAGCTTCCCAGTGTTGTTCTGAAAGCACTTACCTGACATATACACTATTACCACCAATCAATAACTGCCTTTTTAAGTGCCTCTGAACATTGCTCTGGTCGGTGACTGCCTCCAGGAGAGGGCTTGGACAGGAGCTTTGGGGAAAGCACCTCTACGCTGGCAACTACAGCTAGTAATTACTACTTGGTAATTCTGGAGTATTTCTTAACATATTAGAGCAAACTTATATAATAAGTATACTCAAGCTTCCTTTCCTCAGGTTATCAGTGCCACCAGCGTCACTACTGCTTATATCACAACCATTTCCACTGCTGCCAGTGTGAAGTTGTGGAATCCTTGACATAAGCCATACTAACAAAACTGCGTATTTTAAATACAGTTCATTATTATACAATCTTTAGTCAAAATCTAAAAAAGTATAGCTGCACTCATTAACTAACTGCAGCACTGGTTTGGGGAAAGGTATGTGACTTCTCCATTCACCCTTTTTTTCCTGATAAGAGCAATTTCTAATTTTATTTTAACAACACTAATAGCTGTAATACAATTTGTATCTGCTACTTTTTTCATCTGTGGACTTCAGTCAGGTTGTGGAAGTAGTAACTGGTCATTCTGAATTTACTAGAGCTAGAAAAAGCAAATACTAAATTATGGAGAGTATTGCACATTTTGACCAGAATGTTGTATTTCACAGAAGACTTTCTAAGTAAGTACAGAATCCTAAAGATTTTTTTTATGAAGCTTTTTACATTCACAGGAGTATAAACATAAGATTGAGACGCTTTTGACAGAAATTCAAAACAAAGAGGAAGACCACAAATTAGAAGTAACACAGTTGAATTGCGACATGAAAAAAAAACGTAAGTTCTCTGAAGATGGAATGCTATGGAGCTGAGTAAACCATGTTGAAACCTATTCGAGGATAAATACAAGAAATACAGTTCAACTTCTTAACGGAGATACATGACTGGAAAACATTTTCTAATTAAAGTACAAGTGTAGTACTCACAAAACAAAGACACATGAAAGCTAGAGGTGGATAAAGTGTTTAACTGAATTTTATCTTAGCTCAAGAGTAGACAGTTACAGTGAGGTTGTAGTACAGAAGCATAGGATGAGCAGAAATTCCAAAACAGGTAGAACAAACGCTGGGAACATGGACCTAAGAAAAATCTGAAGGAAGGAAATTTTGGGTTAAGTGCTGGCTGGAAAATTGCCTTATGAACTGTGTGCTAGATTGCTGTTACGGTGTTCCAGCTATGCTCAGGAAAACAGGACTCCATACCATTTTTGTAAATAAATAATACTGCAACAAGAAACACCTTAATAATTGCAACAAGATACACCTTAATAATTGCAGAAACACTGCAATAATTCCAGTATTAATTTTTTTCATTACAGACGTAACTTTCAACAGTAAGAGGTTTTGGTTATCCACTTAACACAAAAAAAGGCTAACAAAGTCTTTGCAAAATGTGATGCTTCTCTAAAGAGACTCCATCTTACTGTGATGGGACAGGGTCGTTTCCATGTAGTTTTAAAACATGTTTTTTGTTTTACTGAAATTCTTTTCCTGTGAAATACTCAACAGCTGTTCAAGAAAGTCTTAAGATTTGTGAAATGCAATTGTTCTTTTTCTATGTAAACCTGTTTATATTTTAATCATCATATTTCATGTTATTACTGTTATTAGTTGAACTAATAGAAGTGGAGTATAGGGAACAAGTAGCGAAAAAAGAACTGGAAATACTAGAGTTAACCAGACAACTGAAAACTCAAGATGAAGAGAAGCAGAATGAAATAATTAAACTGCAGATAGAGGTATGCATTTTGAAGCTGAGCTAAAGGTAATTAATTAGGCAGTGGTGCACTTAGAAGATTTTGTGTAGTGAAGAATGGTGTCAATGGTACCTAACAGAGAAATGTAATGGAACCTAGGAAAATTAAAAAATGATCATCTGCACAAAAGGGAATGGCATGTACTCCCTTCTGTAACTGTATCTGAATAGCTTCTGCTCGGAAATAAGTTTTACCTGCCATGTAGGGACATTGAAGTTTGCTGTATCCTTAAGTTAAATTATTTTGGAAATTTTGCCATCTATTTCTTGAGCTATAATGAAATGAAAGCAAATGTTTTCTACTTAACGTCTATTCTTTTTAATTAATTTTTATTAATGCTTGGAAGATATGGTTATTTGTAAACTTCAGGAGCTTAAAGACTTCTAATCCTGCAGAGCTTTGAGAGTCACAGAATTCAACGTGTGTTTCGTGGCTTAGGTTTTAAGGCCACTCTCCCAATTACAGAAAAATGAAGGAAATACTTCAAACCTTTCACATTAAAAAAGAAGTAAGGTGTGAAACTGTTTGGACTGAGTTCCCCTTGGAACACAAAGGAAAGATAATGGTTTCAAGGATTTTTTGCATCCTTCCCATTCTCTCCTCCTGCACACAATAGGACTGGGGAACCATCTTTGTTCTTTCAATGTTGTTTAGCAGTGTTTTTGTTCATTTAACATTTCAGAAATACTTATGTATGGTAAATTGCCATTATAATATTTTGTATCAATTCTTTCTTTTTGAAATAATTTGAAGCATTAAAAAAAAACTCTTAACATGTAATTGCATTTTTTAAAATAAACTTTCACAGTTTCATTGTCCTAGAATTAAATAGTAGATAAGCGTACTATTACTATTTTTAGGTACAAAACCATGGGAAAACTGAAAATTATGCTTGTATTATTTGTATTAATATTTTCCTGTTGGGTTATTAATGTTTTATCTTTTCCTGATTCTTTCAGTTCAATGCTAAATTAGCGAGAGTTCAGAATAAAACAGCAAAATCATTTTCCGATGCTTCTGTCTTGCCACAAAGTATCTATCGAAGGGTATGTGCTTGAATAGCCTGCAGGCTGCAACTACTGTTACAGTCAATTTCAAACAGCAGTTCCCTGGGCTTTTATTGTTTTGTTTTGTAACAGAAATTTGGGGGGGGGGGGAAAGTGTTTCATGTCTGACAGGATCCATATCATTCACTTTTCCAACGCTTCCCTCCCATCTATTTACAACTAATTTCATGCCTTTTTGCACTGATCTTGATACAGATGTGATTCAGCAGCTTAATACCTTTGATACCAGCAACAAAAGCCCCCATGTTAAATGGTCAAATGTGTAGAATTGTTAACTTGGGAACTTAAGGTACAGCTGACATCAATGACTGTGATATAAATTACATATGTGCACTACTGTTCTGGTAGACTGGGGACTTTGGGATGTCACAGAAATAGGATTCTGGGGAAGTCATTTTTGTAATACTGTGAAAAATATTGTTAGACTATTTCTCATTAGCAGCAGCATATTGTATTGGTACATAATTCTACAAGATATTTAACAATGAAGCGTTTGTCTGCATTTTTACAGAAGCTGCAGCATCTCCAGGAGGAAAAAAACAAGGAAATTGAAATTCTGCGTAACACCATAAGAGACTTGGAGCTACGTCTTAATAAAGGCCAGGACTTGCACTTCAAACGAAAGCGGTTCTGAGAATATGTACTTTTGAACTACTTTGTCATACAGTGAGAACTAGAAATAGTGTATTTCAAACTGCACTTCAAAAGTAAAAGCAAAATACAAGGAAATACTGAATCTATTTTTTATTGAAAAACTCTTGTCAAACATTCCCTAAACATACATTCTGTTCAGTAGTACTTTCCTGCTAATCAGCATTCACCATAAGAAGCTTCAGGTTTTGTAGGAGTAACAGTTTCCCTATTAAGCCATCATCAACTATGGTGTATGCTTTCAATGTGGTTTTCCTTTCTTGAATATTCTCTTCTTTATCCAAGAATCTTTCAAATGACTTTATTTTCACTTTAACTTGGTTAGTCAAAGAGTGCTAAGTTAAAAACAATAGTTATACAAGTTTCAGCAGAATATTGCAGTACTAATCAATACAGATTATCAAATTCAGCACTGTTCTAAGCAAAGACAAACATTACATCAAGACTGAATTTGGTCCCTACCCTCCCACTTTTTTATATAGATACTGATCTGCATTACGAGCTGTTAACACTGCCTGTCATTTTAGGCACAATCCTATTAATTTAGTAGGATCTTACAAGCTGCAGCAGTGTGTAGTACTGGACCCCGATACAGTAAATAGCAATAAAAGATAAACATATAATCTGTTACTTTCAAATAATGCAATTATTGCTTACATTTGAGATAAGAAGTTATTGTGGCGTGTTGCTTAGAAATAACATTTTATTGTACGCAATTTGTATCCATAGGTTAGAAAAAAAAAAACAAACTGTGAATATATTCCATGTTCTTTCTTAACAATAAAGTATGATTAAAATATCTTTTTTGGTCATCTTCTATTCTTGGTTGCTAGCATCAAACAGAAGCCCCTAGGTCATAGTTTATGCTCCTGTCCTCACAAATGCAAGCAGAATGTTAGAAGAAAAACAAGAAAGACAAATTAATCAAGAACGCAGACACCTTTCAACTGCAACTGAAAAACAAACTATGGGTCAGTTAAATGGCTTTAAAATAGGAAGTTTTTCATTGATGGAATTAGATAGGTTTTGTTTACTTCCAAGAGCGCTGCTGTAACGCTCCATTTGTTTGCGCTACTTATATTCTAACTCCACGCTTCCGTCACCTGTCTTGAGATAATTTTTTTTATTGTGGGGCAATAAAAACACTTCATCTGTTATTTTTTCCACTCCCAAAATTAAATGAACTTAGATAGTGTTTTATGGTGTTTAGTTTGTTTCTCAGGCTCACTTTCCTTCCTCTTCCTGTCACTGTCAGGTGTCACTAGTTTCTCTTGCTGCTGGTGACTGTCAGGCAGCTGAAAGCAGACGTCACTGTCATGATTCAGTAATGTCCTCTGCTAACAGCTGGCCGTGTCACCTGCAAGAATTCGGAAGTGCTCCGTGACACTGTCAAGTGACAGAATGCCTTAGCTCTTCAAACAAAAGGTGTCGACAATGTCAGCATCAGCTACTAGAAGCTGAGTCTGATGCTTTCTGCCAGGTTCAAGTTAACTGGTTTTTACAGCTGGCTTTTCTCTTTTTTCATAGCTTTTTATCTTGTGTATGAGATTCTGCACCTTCTCCCTGAGGAAGAGTTTCTAGCGGTTCTTGATTACCTCTCTGATCATGTCTGTTATGGCCAAAAACTCTATGACGCCGAGAGAAGAGTGTCGGCTTGGAGATTCATCAGGAGCCTGTTGGTTCTCATTTTTGGAATGATGACTCTCCTCATGGTGGTGGTGTCTGTGTCTGTGCAGGTGGTGACGATGTGAATGTTGGCCAGCTGGTTTTGGTTCTATCTCTGCTAGCTTTTCATCTGCCTTTTTAGTGATGTTTTCACATATATCATCAATATAGGGTTCCTGGAAAATAAAAAGTTCAAATAAGGCATTATACCTAATTAAACTAGTTGTAAAATAATTATCTTCTTGGTGTTTTTGCAGTACCTGAAATCTAAGTGATGGATTATTTAAAATTATTGTTTATAAGTAACTTTGAAAGACTGATGCTGTAATATAAAACGTGAACAACAGCCTATACTTCTTTACAGAAAACAATGATTCATTTAGCTTTTTGGCTTCCAACAAAATCGAGAAAATACAAGTACGATGCTAAAACGTTGCCACCGCTCCACCCCAAAAGTATGTGGAGAAGGGGAAAGCAGCGCAAGTTGGTGCCAAGTAGGGAATCTGCAGCACCTTGTGAAGGGTCTTGCAGGAAAAAGGAAAACGAGGAAGAACTATCTGCCTCCAGGATTTGTCTTCGAGGCTCAGTCTTTTGTATATCTCAGGTTATTGGGCTTAACTGCCACTTTTTTTCTGGTGGTGCTCTTTAGGCAGTTGAAGTAAGTATGTCAGTGGAGTAGCTATGAGAACAGGCCATATTGATGAGAGATGGGTTTTGGAGGTTTTTCAGTAAAGGTAGGTTAAAAAAATATTTTTCTTTAAGTACTCAATATTATTTCAAAAACATGAAGGATACCAAGTTTGAGAAGGAAATTCTTCTCTTATTGAATGTCAACGTTAATTCAAGAGAAGCACAGTAATTGAGCCGTAAGAAAAAAAAAAGTCGGGAAAGTGAACGCGACTGATCAAGCTAGGTGACTTCAGCTACGAGTACCTGTATAAGCACTACAGACTGAATGTGAAATAGGCACACAGACACTCTGAAATTCCTTCTAAACATCATATACAGTGTTTGACATCTGAATTCTTGAGGAAGACTGTCTCACAAAGAAGTGTTTCTTTCTGAGAAAGGGTTACTTCACTGAAGAAAGGTATGACTATCAAAAGGCACCTTGTTCTACAACATGGCTGATACCTGGACAGGGCTCCTAATGTAAACTCTTGGGGAATTAAAATTCAAATAATTGCTAATAAGTTTTCTTATTCTAGGATCCCATAGTTGACTTGTCTGTGGCCCACATTTCGCTGGAAAACTGTATGAGGAAAACTGAAACCATGACGCTTCTGGCTGAACTTTCATGACTAGGTATGTACAATTTCTGATAACCTTTAAGGTACTCCTGATCTTCAGTTATATTGAAAACAAAGCTGCCCTTTTTCATAAGGGTAACAATACTTTGTCATCATTACCACTTTTTTAAAGCGAGTTCTGTATATTGTTTTTAAATACAAACTAAAAAGAATAGTAACTCAAACCAGCTTAGATTTGACTACCAGGTCTTCTAAAAGTATACTATTCGTTTAAGTACCTACCTGGCCCCCAGGACTGAGGCATTAAATGCTCACTAAGCGTGTGTAACTCCAGAAATTGAATAGCATCCAAGATTTGACTTGATTCACATTTCTATCAAGGGCAGGAACTTAGATAATCAGTCTATTCTCAATAATCAGTTGATTCTAAATTAGATCTGCTTCATTTTGAAAAATGCTTAAAAGTTCTCTAGCAAGAGGCATGTAAGCGTTTAGACTCTAAAACATGTGTTCTGGGATTAATCACACTGAAGTAATTATTTTTAAATACTGGTCCAGTCCACTTTCCCTTTCCTAGTGCGTACAGAATGAAATAAGAAAATACCGTGTAAGAGCAATTTCCACACTTGTTTTCACAGTATGCAATCTTTATAGATTCTTCTACGTATTGGAAAGACAGGAAGGAATAGGGCAGACCCAGATGATACACTAGACGGCCACATCTAGGGAGAGAAAGAATTCCATAGTTACATATACGTAAACATATATGTATATATAAAAAATTAAATCTCTCTTCTTCTCATCACATCTCCTTATTTTGTTCACCTCAATCCTCCCATACTGTACAATCCTACAAAGACTGTTTCTGTCCAAGGAGTCAAAAGCAGTAAAAATCAGTATCTGCATTATACACTTTTGCCTGCTCAACTACATCAATCAATAGGGTGAAGCATGATTTCTTACTGATACAGTTCTCTTGGCGGAAGCCTCCCATGTAACAGCGTTTTTAGACTACCAAAGGTACACTCTTTACATAGCTGTCTTGCTAAGGAGGACTGCCGTTTGCATAGCAGTACAAATCACAGTATGGTTGTTGCATTCATGCAACGAATGTTTTAATACAGCATAACATGTTTCTTGATTGGAAATGCGAACTGCAGTGCATCTGCATTAGTGATCCAGTGTGCATGAGCGATTCTGATGGTGCACATCTGCTCTGTGTCTGTTCTGGAGCGCTCTGGTATGCACTTGAGCACACTACTGGTGCACTCAGAGCAGATGGAACAAAGGTGGAAGTTGTATACCAGGCACCATGTTAAGTACCCTACTTGCAATGTGGTCCACAAGGTTCTCCAGCCATAGCTCTCTACACAGGTGTAGTCCACGTCTAGGACCAGCAGCTGGCACAAACTTCACTGGCAGTAAAGACACAGTGAGGACATATAGTCCTTGAACTATAATGGATCACAGCCAAACCAGTGCCAAGCCAGTTGGTAAAATAAACACACCCTATGTTTCAACGTCACAGATTAGTTCTACCTTTCAAATTTTGTGGGCCAGGTGTCAACTTTGGGGTCCCTTCGGGGGCTACATGCAGCCTTGATCTGTTCATCTATCATGTGACAACCTTCCTCCCACACACTCAGGCATATTTGCTGCAATAACATCCGTTCCCTCTCTAAGGATCATTGAAGTGTTAGTTGCAGCCCACAGCCTAAAGTTATCTAATTTGTGCAATGTCTTCGCAGTAGGAGAAAAAATACATGTAATTTTCTAATTCTTTATTAAACTTAATTATGTTTCAATGTGAATTGAGAATGTTCTTTACAGTAACATAATAATAATAATTAAGATGGACATGTTAGAAATGCAAAACTTACTTATCATATAATTTGCATCAAATCTGAAAAATTAGGATTTCAAGTAAGCAATTATTACTGGTTCTCCCAAAAGATAACATGTCCCAGAATCTTACGGTCAAAAAGCTAGTTTATTTCAAAGTTTTAAGTTTCACCTAAAAACTAACTTTTCTACATGGAGACAGGAAGGTTACATGACATTTTCAACCAATTCTAGTTAAAATGCTTTTATGAAAACTTAGGTAGCTTTTCTGGATTGACTCTATTTTCACATCCATTGACATAATGGAGTTTTCAGAGAATAAAAACAGTGTCAGAATCACTGTCAAATTCTACTCTCCGTTACAGTAATATAAATCAATAGTAACTAAAAAGACAATGTATTTATCCCAAATTTATTTAAACAAAAGCAGACTTTTTTGTAGCTTCCTTCTTCCTGAAAAAGTGGAAGTGCTTTACATAGTGCAACTGAGAAGCTGATTATAACGACTATATCGTGAGGTAATTAGGCTATTTGCAAACTGATTAATTAATATAGTGAATTACAAAGACTGTAAGTACATGCAAATATTTTCCTAATTTTATACACAGACCTGTCATAGATGAGAAAATCATGTTTGTTTCCATTTAAGGTAGTCCAGACATCAGCTTGCTGTTCATCCTGCTGGTAGACAGTGATACAGTCTGAAACACTTTCTTTCAGTAGGTGAAATTTCCTGTGGGACTGAGTTCCCTGGTGGTTGACAACCACATACGAGATATTGACCAGTCCTTCATTCTCTAACTTCACTCGCAAGTCCTCCAATCTAAGGGAGATTGTAAAGAAAGCAGATTATTAAAAACAGGGAATCATAAGAGTCTTTTCCTTTGCAATATAAAAATGTTATTTCTGAATATATGCATGCTTCCAGAGATCAATGATTTGCCTTATTCATCAAACGCTAATGAGCTCCATCTTGCTTTCATTAAAGCAAATGTTATTTCCTCCAAGTTTTAATGGATACAAGCCTAAAACTATTAAAAGAGACTCCTTCCATTTGCCATTACCATCAACTACGTTGTCACCAAATGAGATCATACAGTAACTAGCAGTGTAGTGACATGTCCTGGTTCCTATCCTTGTAAGTAGAATATAGTACTAAATAAAGCAGATGCATTTGTTTTCAGATAGATTTCAGTGATATTTTTACTTCAGTTTTTCTTTTCCCATATTTCTAACAGACAGTTTATCTGGTGCTTTTACTTAAATGTTCTGTTTTGGGTCATATAACTGGTAAAAGTATGCACAGAATGAATACAGCAGCAAGGTGAATAATCAAGAAAGCAAACCTGCAGTTAAAAGGCTGATAGTTCTCCCACTCTGCTTGACATGGTTATTTTCCATAATAGCCAGAAAAGGGATATTACCACAACTGGAACAAAAGGATGGCTATGGAATTTGTGCGTGAGCCCGCTGGCTGTTATTAATGTTCCCTCTCTAATACTAGAGCATGTACATCACAAAATCTTCTTCTCTGCTATGTAATACAGAAAGCTGCTTTCTTCTTGTACAAGCTTTTCACTCATTTCATTTGTATAAGGGTCATTCTTTCCTCCTGAATGGCTCTAGAAAACTCTTTATTTTTTCAGTTTCAGAAAAATTTTGAATAGTCTTGAATTAGAAAGATTCTTTCGAGCCTTTCTAGAATGCATGGATTCAAATCCAACTACCTTGAAAACCAACCACAAAACACACTTTTGACTTGGATGGAGCCAGAGATTTACCACTAGTTTTTCGAGATCCAGTTCTGGAAAGCTTGAAAGAACTATTAGACTAGAAATTTATGCATCCCACGGAGGCAGGGTACTAAGATCTTATTACACTGATCAAAATCAAGCTGTGAAACCAGCACGATCAGTTTTTAAACTCAAGTTATTTTACAACCACTAAATGAATATACGATAAGGGCTGTGAGCACCAGTGTCTCAGGTCTTTTATAAAAATTAAACACTGATAGTTCCCTTGAATGCCTCATCTATTTTCTGCGAGGCCATGCTTTACCATATTTTCTGGTGTTTTTTTCTTTGAACAGACTAGGAAAGTACATTAAAAATGCACATTTGATTTGCCTTTTTCCCTAGAGATCTTTCATGAAGATTATGTGATTCAAGGGGTGTTTTCATATGAAGCATGAGTAAAATATAAGGATCTCTCTGTCCATGTCAGAGAATTATGGTATTTCTTGACTTCAGCATCTTTGCCACATTAATTATCTGTTGTTAACCAAAGTAAAGCTCTGGAGGAACTGTTTCTGTTGGACTTTCATGTGCTTTACTCTTCGTTAATATCAAGTTGATAGCATATTTATGTAGTAACTACAATCTGGAAAAGATAAGCTGTCCGTCAGTACTAAGCCAGCAGCTGAAGAATCCAAACCACTAGCACAAAATGTTCCCGCTGGGAATTAACCTGGTCACCAAGGCCGGGTCACACGTTCTAGCAGGGTCGCTGGCATTTGAGGAAGCCATAGTTCATGGAGCGTATCTGTAGTTGGATGCGTACGTTATCCTCAGACGGCTTTAAAAATTGACGAGGCTTGTTTGGAAAAAAACTGGGAAGGAGGTTTACACTTACCTGGAAGCCTGCAGCAGGCACAAGTATCAGCTAGCTTGGAGGAGAGCTACCACTGTCACCGACCCCCTAGAGTTCAGCATTGGGTTCTCCTCCCCAATATGCCATTCTGGGGGCTCTTTGCAGTTCTGGATCTCTGCCCCTCCTCCTGGGAGGAGGCAGAGACTCAGAACTAGCCCCAGCCCTGCCCACATGGCTGGGCTTTATCTGCAAAGAGAGAAAATAAACAAAATGAGATCAACGCTTAAGCAAAGTTCAGACTCTGAAATCCCCATAACAAAACACTGCAGGACACTGGGTCCATTCAGTTTAAATATACAGTAAGGGGACATTTCAGCAGTATGTTTACTGCTTGGTCATATTTCTTAGATTTTGCAATGGCGTTTCCATATAATAAATAAATCTAGGTCTTTGCTATGTGTAAACAGCTGAAGAAGTACAAAATAATGGCATTTTCTTTTAGTGCAAGTAAACAAACTAGGTTGTTCATTACTCTTTGTAATATTTCAGTTTTTAACATTTCAGTGATGTTAAAGTTGACCTCATTTCTTGTGTTTTTAAGTCTGTGGTGCTGAGCCAGTTTACACCAGAACACTCTAGACCAGTGCAGTCCAGATTCTAGTCTGATTCCAGTCCAGTGCAGCACAGTTCCACTGACTTTAAAGTAGCTACACCAACAGTATGTTTCGGTACATAGAAAATATTATATAACCTGGCAAGGGGAAAAAAAAAAAAAAAAAAAGACTTAAAAGATCTTTACAAGCCAGTTTGTAGCATTTTGGCGCCACTCAGAAAACTCTCTTAAGAATGCAAACACTAGATACAATTCTGCAAAAACAGGAAATGAAACTCAGTTTCAGGATTTCCCAGATTTTACAAAATCTTCTGCCCACACTGAATCCTTTCGATGTTTATGAGAATCAAAAAATACAAGAAATTCTGTAATGATCCTTTTATTCCAATTACATAATAATTTTGGCTTAATATGGTCAGAAAACTCCCGTTATTGAGAAATGACCCTTAAAACCGCTCTCCAACCTGCCCTAGGTTGTGGGATTCTACAGTTCCACCATTCAGATCAGATTCTGGCAGTAAACACAGAGTATTTTTGAAACACTAAGTTCTGATCAATAATATGTTCTCCTTCAATCTTCTCATAGTCTAATAAAATAAAACATTTTAATTACTGATCTTTTAAAGCCAGACTCAGCTGCTGCAAATCTGACATCATTTGTAAAATCCTGCTTTCCCTAATGTTTCTTTCCTGCAGCTATACCAAAAGCATTTTAGGTACAGTACTTTGAGGATTAAATTATGGCCCAGTTGGTATGTGGAGGGCCAGTTTTTTGCTCTTTCTGCACACCTGGAAAACGGCTTGCCTTTACAGGGCTCCACTGCAAACACATAAAGCTCCTAAGCCATGCTGAGATTCCTCTGTAATTTTATAGCCTTCTGCAGCACTGACACCCCAAGGCTAGCAACAGCTGTCTAGCTCTGCAGACAAGACGACAAGTTATGTTCTGAATTACACGTCCCTTAACAGTTCAACTTTTTACTTAGTTTCCAATGGAAATTTCCACAGTCAGTCTTTACAGCCAAAGAAACAGTCTGCCAAATCTTAAGTCATGAAGCTCTTTCACAGTAAAAACAACACACTTAACTTACCCTTTTCTCCCCTCCCTCCCCTCCTTGGCTGCTCCGCTCGACCATGCACTGCAGAAGAAAAACACTTTCGGAGAAGGGCTGTGGTATTTATACGGCTCTTGTTTATCTCACTTCGCAGATGTGGTTCAAAGTTCAGGGAGCTCATTCCAAACAACCTTGCAAGCAAAGCAAACCCCTTTAGCAAAAGCAGCCACAATATTTCTTGGTTAACTAATTCCAAGTGGCAACCATTTATCATGCAGCATGGCAAGATATTTTTAATATAATGACTTTGACTATTGGGTTATGCGGTTTGCCGGTCACCCCAGTAAGTTGGAGGTAGTGGTACAGTCAGAGGAGGGGGAAGGGCCAAACAGTCATCATTTTCTGAACACAGTGGTGACCACAGTGGGAGGGGGAAGGTACTTATCTATTTATAAACATGCTGAGCTAGCAGTTTCTTTCTCATAGTCTTTATCTGATATTTGTCTGGAGAAGAGAATGGCGTACCACCCTGCTTTGCAGGGCGAAACTCCTTTTGCACAGCTGCTCTTGTTTATGTCAGTTGGCTTTAAAACTTTCTGGAGAGCCTGCCAGTTTATCAGCTTATGTTGAAGATTAAAGTCCAGATTTCCAGCCATTGAATTCAATGTAGCCATATGAAAGCCATGAAGCTCCACTAACTAGCAACAACCATTTAACTCTTTATATTATTCTACTACGTTTTCTTACACCCATCATCACAGAAGTATCTGAAAACATTCATGCTAAACTGTTCTCTGATTCTCTCTCCCCAGTGGGACAATTGTTTATGCATGAACTGTTTTATTTTGATAGTAGTTTGCTTGAGTTTGATTTTCTTTAACGTGAGTGTGGATGTACGTTTATGGAGAAAGAAATCTTTAAAGACTTGGTGCGCCTTCAGAGTTTAAGGTGATGAGATCTGTGTTGCTTAGCGCTGGCCTAAGTTTGAGAAATGAAACTGCCAGCCATGAGGTTTATCCCTTAGAAGTCCTATGCTCGAGCTGATGAGAAGGACGAAGAGCTGGAGTTTTATTCAAGAGTCTCTTAGGATGTAACATGGAAGGCAGAAACAGATGTTTGATAGAACAGCTCATCCTGGATGCCATCTCTAATCATGAGAAGGATAAGAAGGTGATCAGGAGTAGTCAGCATGGGTTTCACAAAGGGGAAATCACGCTTAACTAATCTTCTGTGATGGGACAACTGGCTGGATAGATGAGGGGAGACCAGTGGATGTTGTCTACCTTAACTTCAGTAAGGCTCATGACCTTGTCTCCCATAACACCCTTGTAGGCAGGCTCAGGAAGTGCAGGCTGGGTGAGCGGACGGTGAGGTGGATTGAGAACTGGCTGAATATTAGAACTCATAGGGTTGTGATCAGTGGTGCAAAGTCTAGTTGGAGGCCAGAAGCTAGCGGTGTCCCCCAGGGGTCAATACTGGGTCCAGTATTGTTCAACTTATTCATCAGTGACCTAGGTGAAGGGACAGAGCGCACCCTCAGCAAGCTTGCTGATGATACAAAGCTGGGAGGAGAGACTGATACACTGGAGGGCTGTGCTGCCATTCAGAGGGACCTAGACAGGCTGGAGAGATTGGCAGAGAGGAACCTCACGAAATTCTACAGAGGGAAGTGCAGCGTCCCACACCTGGAGAGGAATAACCCCACGCATGCACCAGGACAGGCTGGGGACTGATCTGCTGCTGCTAGCAGGTCGAGGGAGGTGATCCTCCCCCTCTCCTCAGCCCTGGTGAGGCCTCACCTGGAGTCCTGTGTCCAGTTCTGGGCTCCCCAGGACAAGAGAGACATGGAGCTCCTGGAGCAAGTCTAGTGAAAGGCCACAAAGATGATGAGGGGACTGGAGCATCTCTCCTATGAGGAAAGGCTGAGGGAGCCGGGACTGTTCAGCCTGGAGGAGAGAAGATTGAGGGGTGACCTGATCAATGTGTACAAGTATCTGAAGGGAGGGTGTCAAGAGGATGGGGCCAGACTCTTCTCCTTGGTGCCCAGCAATAGGACGAGAGGCAATGGGCACAAACTGAAACACAGGAGGATCTATCTGAACCTGAGGAGAAACTTCTTTCCTGTGAGGGTGCCAGAGCACTGGCAGAGGTTGCCCAGAGAGGTTGTGGAGTCTCCTTCCCTGGAGATATTCAAAAGCCATCTGGACACAATCCTGGGCAATGTGCTCTGCAGGACCCTGCTTGAGCAGGGGGGTTGGACTAGATGATCTCCAGAGGTTCCTTCCAACCTCAACCATTCTGTGAGAAGTGCACTGAGGAAAGAGCACCAACTATAGCACCAACTATACAGTGGTCACTACCATAAAGTCAGTGTTTGCTTCCAGGTAGTATTCAGAGACACCTCCACACCCCCCCCTTATAGAGAGATGCGAAAGAGCTGTTCTGTCTGCTAGCAACTATTGGTGTGCTAATAACTGTTGTTGTGCCTTTATAATATTAAAAAGGAGACTTTGATCACATGCGTAGTGATAAGTCACGGGTATCTTGCTTTATAACATTCACGCTACCTGAGATCATTATTCTGCCTCAAGATGTGCTCAGGAAGAAAGTTCCTTGTTCTTGAAGCAAGTTGTAAGAAATATTGTAATGTTGGCTCTGGGGGTAAATAGATCTAATTTAGTTGTTTAGATATGTATGAACCCCAAAATACGTTTAAACATCAGTCTGAAGCTTTACCCTTTTTTAGTGGGAAAAACTGCACTTCCATATTTTTTTACGAACAGTAAAATAAAGAAATTAGTAATTGTTAAATTACAGTAGAAGAATCAGACCACCAATTTCTCATATTCATTCCCCTTGAACGAGTAGACTCATATAGCCCTTTCTCCTTAGCTTCTAAGAAGTAATTATCTTAAATCTTAATTTTGCTTCCCAGTGCGAGTATTTTATTAGTTGCTGAGTAGGTTCCAGTCTCACTGCAGGAGGAGGTTATCAGCTCTAATTTGGGCAAGTCTTCAGATTCAAACAATAATTTTTATAATTATAATCCTATTCCTACTCACTCTGTTTCATAGTTAGGGGGGGTAATGGTGTAATAGCACCCTTCCCTTCTTATTGAACATAAACTAACCTCTTTTTTGACATGTTTCAATCAAACTTTTCAAAGCATCACAGCACAGAAATACCACTGCCCAGGAACTCTGGAAATTAACTGCCATTCAGTATTTCTGTCATCTTCATTGATAACACATTGTTAACACAATTGACAACACAAATGTACACTTCTCTGAAAAACTGAAATGGACAGGGAATTACGAGGTAATGCTACTCTGGTAAAGTCTGCTGTAGTGATTTGGAATGTGCAAATAATGAGCGGATGGAAGCAGAACAAGGATCCAGCCTTATTCCAGCATGAGACCTTAGGACTTTGATGTCTCGCTGTTTCGCTTTTGTGACTAAAAGACGTCACAAACAGGGAATTCAAAGTCCATTGGCCAGATCGTAGTCTCTTCTTCTTGTATATCCTCTGATTTTAGAGCAGTATGACTGTGTCAGCTTGGTGGAGTAACTCATACTTTACACTGGAATAAATTACAATAGAAACAGGCTGTCAGGGTTTACGCAATGCTTGCATAGACAAATTTCCATTTGTTTATCAGGCCTTACGCTTCCTTAAGTGCTGTAACTAAAGGGTAATTTAAGTGAAGGCTAAAGAGTTACACTAAGGTAAAGTATATTCAGCAAGATGATTGGAACCACAAACTCATTACTTAAAGTAGCTCTAGAAAGAAGGATAGTTCTGCAATATTTGGTCTCGTGTTCCTATCATGTGAGATCCAGAGCAGCATGTGGTAACCACATGCTATTTCTCAGAACTCAAGAGAAAGCTGACATCCTCTGATACAGGCCTGGAGGTCGTTTCAACAAACTAAGGAATGGCTGATACATGCAAATGCCTATTTAAATACAAAATAAGACTCTGATCTTTTAGATAAATGTTGGTTTGTTTTTCTGCTTGGAAATTCCCTTATAATAATGAAATACCTTTCTCTACTTTAACCTGCCTGTAGTACACTGTAATTAGCAAGGGAAGTATTCTTTTCCTCAGATATGTCCTGAGTCGTAATCATTGCACACATTAGAAATGCAAACTAACCCTAGTTGCTGAAGACCTACATGAATTCTGAGCTCCTTATCGGCTCTCTTTACTTTCAGCGTTTACCCTGCAATATTTATATCAACCTGCAAGTTGCACATGTCGTCTCATTGGCGCCTGAGACCAATGGGTCATCTCTATTGGAAGGAAGGACAAATTACTTGACTTTACACAGCAGGTGGTTAAAAAGAGGGTCATTAGGATCACGGTTATAGGAAATCTTTTGTACTTGTGTGTGCTTCAGTGTAGTTCGCAACGCTCACTAGTCCTGTGGTCTACAGAGAAAAGCTGCAAATTCCTTCAGTTTGGTCTGACTCTGCTTAGACTCCTGGTGTTGATAAAAAGGCAGGAAGAAGCAAATGTAATAATGCAATGACCACAATGCAGGGTAGCTGTACGGATCTTCTTTCTGGATCTCCTATCCCACACAGTGATCAGTGATCTCTCTTTCTACAGGGATGATGCAATTGCACCTGGAATTCAGCAGGCAGCTTTAGGCTTTCCAGTGCCATACACTGATCAAGTACATAACTAAAGCAATTAAAGATCTGGACAAATAAGTACAAAGAGAAAAATAAAATAAAAAACATAACTGCGATCCCAATTCTGCTGTATTCAGACAATTCTCCTCACGTTAACAATCAGGTCTAAATAGAGTCTAACTGTGATCATAACAGTCTTTATGCCCAGTAACTCTCAGTAGGAAAGGTGGAGGAAAGTGATTAATCAGCTAAATCCACAGCAGTTCGTTCCAGGTGATCTTAAAGGTCTCTTGACAGAAGTACTTGTAAAAGCAAGTTCTTGTTAATGATTTATAACATTGGTCATCCAAACGTAGTTTCCATTCTTTCGCAAGGTTCAGTGCATTGAACTATGGCAGGAGCACAGTACACAGGACTCAAGTGAACCTTGCACAAAATTCAAGTGTGTTCTCTGCTTAGCTGTTGTAAAATACATGAAA